TTCAATTACTTTTTACCCTTAATACTAAGGTTACTATTTGCACTTTTACACTCAAAAAGCAAGATTCTCATAGGCAATCTCTTAGATGCTTAATCTACATAATGAAACATTATTTATCAATTTCTAGCACTCAACACAAGGTACTAATGTGGCTAGGCCAAATTCCTTAATGCATGAAACAATCTAATTAATACCTTTTGAGTTCACATAATCCATTTTTTTATAGTCATTTAACCTTAAGCTATTCAAATAACCAAAACACCCCTCTCCTCACTAACCAACATTTACACCTCTTTTGAACTAATCATTTAGGCCAATTCAAGCCTATATCCTTAGGGTTCAACACTAAACCCCAAACGCATCGCAAAACCTTAGTTTCACACCTAATAATCCTTTTAAAACCTTTTTCTTAGATTTTAACCCTTTAAAACTCCTTAATTCAATTTTTCTATGAATCAAACTTAGAGAACATTAGGGTTAAAAATGTAGTACAGGGAAGTATGAAACTTACTGGACAAGTCATTAGTCAATGCAAACCCCTAAACTCTAAAAATTCTTGCCCTACCACAGAGAAACCCTTCTCCTCTCCTCCTTCATTCATCTCCATCTTTTCTCATCTAAAACATGAGCTGATCACATCAGCTTCAAGTAAATTCTATGCTATACGCTGCAATGCATGCAACATATACCGTGATATATGGCATAGTAAGGTAACTCTCATTGTGGCTCACACGTTTGTCTTGGACTATCATCTTACCAATCAATCCCATTAATACACTAATCAACCAATACCACATAATAGCCAACTATCTAAAACTATTGTCAATTTGATAATTACTAATTTACCATTAACTAGCAAACTAGTTTCTCGGATTAAAGTTAGGATGTTACAATTCTCCCTCCTTTAAAGGAATTTTTCCCCAAAATTCAAACATAATTATAATTTACCTCATGGAAAGAAATAGGGGTACTGCTTCCTCACACTTTCCTCCATCTCTCATGTTGCATCACTAGGAGCCATTACTCACAAAAACACTTTGACCAATTGGATAGTCATGTTATGTAGGTGCTTTTCTTTAACATATACCATTCGATCTAGCTTAGTTTGATTAGTGAGATTCTCTTAAATCTCTTAGTTTGATACAATATCCCACTTCTATTAAGGATCTCTAAAGGTTGAAGTGTTCCAACTAGTTTATGTCTCTTAATCTTTACTTTTTGATATGACATTGACATACAAACTTGATAACATCCAGCTTTATACCTTGCCGCCACCAATGCTTCTTTGTATCTTAATACATCATGGTCATACCAAGATGCATACATACTTACTCTAACGAGCCTATTCTAAGAGCTTTCTTCTGATCCCCTCATCTATAGGTATACAGATTGTTTCCTTATACAAGATGAACCCATCATTGCTGAACCAGAAAAGAATAGTATGACCCTCTTCAATATCTTCTTGGGTATTTAACAAGTACTTGTCTTTCAATTTAGCTTCTTATATCTCTTGCAAAACATATTAGAATCACTATAGAGTAGACTACATTCAGGGAATAATCTGATGCCTTTAGCTATATCTCCGAAAGAGATGGCATCAATTGGTTTTCTTTTACCATTAAACCAGCTATATGCAATAACTTTTAGCTTAAAGTATATTAGCTTTTCTAAGATAATACTTAAACTTAAAATTATAATCTTTTAAGGACTCCATCTATCGCCTTTACCGCATGTTAAGCTCTTTTATTCACAAAAATATTTTAAACTCTTATAATCATTGCGCACATTAAACTCTACACCATAGAGATAATGTTGCCAAATCTTAAGAGCAAATACCACAATTGCTAGGTCCAAGTCATGCATTAGATAACTCTCCTCATGAGGTCATAGTTGCTAGGATGCATATGCCACTACTCGATCTCTTTGCATTATCACAAACCCCAAGCCTTTTCAAGAAGCATTTGTATATAAGGCAACTATAAATCAGGAATAATCAATACTAGTACTAAGGTTAACTTCTCCTTAAGCTCCACAAAAGCAACATCACATTTATCATCCCAATAAAAAGGCTAACCTTTCCTCGTTAACTGAGTTAAAGGAATAGCAATCTCCAAAAATTCCTAAATAAATCTTCTATAATAACTAGCTAGACCCAAAAAACATCACACTTTATTAACTGAACTTGACCATTCCTACTGCAATACTGCATCCACTTTATGAAGATATATTACGATACCTTTAGCTGACACTGTAACATTCAAAAACTTCAAATCTAGAAAATTGATTAATTAAGGGTAATTTATTTAATTATGTTTTTGGGTTGTTAATTAGATTTTTAGGTCATATTTGGCTCTAAATTAAGTTAGGATGAAAGTCGAATCAAGTTGGTAGGCATTGGTGGGAGAAATATCTTTTTATTGCTTGCTATATCGTGAGCTATGGCTTGTGTGGCATGCACTATGGCGCACGGCACAGCAGGCAACTTAAAATTTTTAAAAATGATCAAAAAATGATAGTTTTTATGGTGAAAAACCTTGAATACAAAGGGGCAAGTTTTGGGCACTACTAGGACATCAATTTGGGAGGATTTTAAAGATAATTTGATCCTTCAAACTCTTAAGTAAGTTTTTTACCCTTTTCCTCTACCTTTTTATCTCATTTTTCATAGGATTTGGAAGAGGGAGAATTTGCTTTGATTGGATTAAGCCATGAGTCTATGTTTTAAAGGTTTCTATTGACTCTAAAGGTTTGATTTAGGTTTATTAATCTTAGATATGTAGTAATATAAAGCTACTTTATTGTTTGGTGAAAGTTAGATCAAGCCCTAACTTGATCATGGGGTTTTGAAGTGTGATAAGTTAAGATATTAAGTGTTATGATGTGATATAGTTAGTGGGAGGCTTGAAGGGATTGTGTGAAGAAATTGTAATCTTGACAAGCCTATTTGTTGAGAATATGAGTGAGACGTGGGAGAATTGGGAGGTTATTGTTAGCTAATAGTGCTTGTGCTAATTGAAAATTAACATATAGTACTTATTGTTGTAGATTGTGGCGTGGGAAGACTTACCTTGACACAAGAAGAGATTTAGTATCACGGGTAACCTTTTTAGTAATAAAAGGGTTGAGGTAACTAGATAATTTGCATTATTTATTACCTTGAATAAGTTATTCTCAAGTTTCTTTTCTATAATTTGTTGTGTATATATGTATAAATTTTATAAAGGTTAACTATTTTAGAAAATAAGTGGAGTATTGATTTGTGAAATTCTATATTTTTGAAGTAAATGATAAGATTTGTTATACTTATTTGGAAAGTTGTTTATACATGGTAAAGTGGAGAAATGTAGTGAAATGTGGCATGTTAGAGGGTGGGAGGTCACCCTAGTGGAGTTAGTGAAGATTGAGTTCATATGGCATTGCTAGCACCTCAGGATACCAGGTGCAGCACTTACTCTCGTTAGTGCCCAAAAATGAGTGCGGTGCTGGAGACTTATTCTCCTTAGTACCCAAAAGGGTGCGGAGTTGGAGACTATACTCCTTAGCATCCGTAGGATGTGGTGTTGGAGTAACAACACCCTAAATTACTTGTAATAAATGGAACCAGTAGTCCATAAGTGATTTAGTACACCTTGGCCAGATAGTCCTACCATGGATGGTGAGCTTAGGGACCATACATGTGGTTTGGTTCTGTAAAATAGCCTACCAGTTCGGTCAAGAGTATTGGAGGACTGGATGGTTAGGGATTATGCATGTAACTTGTGGTGATCTTATATGGTATGTTTATTTTACTAGATTTAAGGCTTGTTTATAACTTGGTATGTTAATCAATAATGTAGATTATCTTAGTTACTGAGATTTTTATCTCACCCCGTGGTTATCATTTTACAAGTTCCACCAGTGAGACTGAGCCAGGGAGGAAATCGGGCATAGGCTAGCATACTTGCTAAATTCTCATTGTAATGCCCGATTTCGATTTGAGTCACATACATAAACTTATATTGACGAGATTATATCGTGCCAACTGGGAATGTATTTCATTTTAATTGGTTGTACTTGTTTCACACTATATTATTTTGTATTTTAACCCAATATTGTATATGATGTGAATATGTGGCAATTTTATGGTGATAGGCTAAAATACTAATACAACTACAAGGAATGTTTTATCTATGTGGTGACAATATATATGTAATGTATTATGCAGCAATAGAGGCCAAATAGTGTGCATGGTGTTGTTTTAATATTTTGGCCATATTGGGTGAAATTGCCACTGAGTAGCCAAATTTTGTGTTTGGTATGTTTTTATGTGTTTGAATGTTTACTCAAGTGTATTTTGATCCATTGGACTTGGTTCAAGCCTTACAATGGATTAATGGTATATGTTATGAGTTTTTGGTACTTGGATGGTTGAAAATCACTTTAAAAACTAACTTTTGCATCCGAGTATCTAAAATTCTCATACGGTGTCAGATCATAATGAAACTTGTACCATTAGTTAGCTCATCAAATAATCTTCACGTGGGTGCTTGAATTACTCCAATCGAACATCGGATGCGAAAATGGCGTGCATTTAAAGTTTATCCAAAAAAGCTGTCATGACAGCATTACTGTCATGGACATATGCGCCGCAGTGCATTTCATGCAAGCCATGGCACATGGTACAATGAGAAAACTTTTCTTTCTATGCCACATATCGGGATGCATGGACCACGAGCCATGGTGCATAGACCAAAACACTCAAAAATGACACTTGGCCATGTTTTGAAGTGTTTTGCTTCCCAAAACTTTCCTATGCTTCCAATACCTTTATAAATCATTAAGTTTAAGCTCAAACTACAAATTTGAAGGGTTTTTATGGGATCCTAAATTTTATGTGTGCACACAATAGGGTCAATACCAGGAATGTCAGCCAAAGTCCAACTAATAGCATGTATGTTCTTTCTCAACACATCAAGTAATGCATTTTCTTCCTCAAGAGATAAAGAGTTAGAAATTATTACCGGAAGCTTCTCATTCTCAATGAGATATGCATACTTAAGATTGGATGGTAAAGGCCAAAGTAGGTGGCTCTACACAAGAGGGAATGAGCTTCTTCAAGTCTAATTTGCTAGAATACTCCATGGTACTATCTTGTCTTTTAGGTTTCTCACTTGTTTTTGATTTCTCCTCTTCTTTCTTTACAGCCTCCCCCTTTTCTTGCAACTTGTCCTCAAGTGCTTGGACTTGAGCCACGGCCTCGACATGTGAAAGTGTAGAATTTCCTCCAATAGCTTGGGAATCCTAAGAACATCAAGCTCGAGTGGAGAAAAACTCATAGATTCGGCCTTAATGGCTTTAGTACCTACAACACAAGAAGATATACCCTTCTCAAGCATTTCAAGATCAAGCATAGGAGATATTTTAAACAAATCATGAGGAGAAGTAGTTGCATCATTCAAGCATGCATCAATCTCTAAACAAATAGGACAACTACATCCATCAATACATGTAGTAGTAACAAGAGACAAATCAGCATCAACATGTGAGAAAGAATCAAGCATGTGAGACTCACAAGCATCATGAAGCAATAACTCAATGGAACTTACACCTAACAAAGAATAATCCTCAAAAGGATGTTTCATTGCTTCATATATATTAAAAATAACATGATCCTCTCCACATTTCAAAATCAAACTACCTTTTTCCATGTCAATTAATGTACGGGCAGTCCTCATAAATGGCCTTCCTAAAATCAAAATATCATCCCCACTCCCTTCTTTTGACATATCAAGCACATAGAAATCCACAGGAAATAATAGACCTTTAACACAAACCAACAAGTCTTCTACTACTCCATGTGGTCTTCTAACACTTCTATCCGCTAATTGGCATATCATAGGTGTCTTATGCATGCAATCAAGACTCAAGGCATGATAAATTGAAAGAGGCATAACATTAATGGCTGCACCTAAGTCTATCAATGCATGAGAAAAATGTGTGTTGCCAATCTTGCATGGAATTGTGAAGGAACCGGGGTCCTCACATTTTATAGGGAGTTGAGGCTTCATGATAGCACTCACAGATGAAGGTAATTGTACCCTTGCATTAGGCCTAAATTTTCTTTTATTTGTACAACAATCTTTCAAAAATTTGGCATACTTAGGAAAGTTCTTAACTACATCCATCAAGGGTATATTAACATGAATCTTATGGAAGAAATCATATGCCTCTTGATCAAATTGTCCCTTCACTTGCTTAGGGACCACTTGTGCTTGTGGAAAAGGAAGCTCCTTCATAATCTCTTGACTTTGCCTTCCTTCTTCCTTTCTTGAACTCTCCTTTCTTGTTTCACTTTGCTCGGCCTCTCCCTTTTTTTCCTTACTAAACAACTCGGCCATAGTCCCCTTTTCCACCTTAGATGGTGGTTGCTCACATATGATCTCCTCAATGTTTTCATCCTCATCATCTCTACAAAAAGATGCATCATTAGGAGCAAAAGAAGAACTAGAAACATTAACATTAATTGAAGAATTTAAAGAGGGCTTCTCGGCCTTCCCTTGTCTTTTGTCTTCTTGTACTCTTTCTCCCAACTCCTTGCCACTCCTCAATGTGATAGCATTAAGATTAGCTTTAGGATTAGCAACAGTGTTGGATGGTAATGTAGAGGCTTGAGCATTGGCTGCACTTAATTAGTTAGCAAGCATATTCATTTGAGAAGTAAGGGCATCAATTTTAGAGTTCATGTTCTCACACTTGTTACCCATACTCTCTACCTTGTTCCCTAAGCCATCATACATGTTTTTATACAAAGAGTTCATTTCAATCAACTGCTTACGTAACACATTCACATTATTAGAAGAGTTTGAATTAGAAGAACTCTCAATTGGAACAAGTCTCCTATCACTATAAGAATTAGAAGAAGGTGCAAGAGAATTACCACTTGGATTGTAGCTTTGAGAAGAGCTACCTTGAGACAAATGAGGTGGAGGGTCACGGCCAAAGGTGTTTTGATAGGATCCTCTTTGTTGATTGTCTTGTAAAGCCACATTTGGATTTGAATAGGAGAAATTAGGATGGTCTCTCCATGAAGGGTTGTAAGTATTAGAATAAGCTCCTTGCACTTGCCTCCCACCATAGGATTGTTTTCCATTGTAGATAGCATTTACTTGTTCAAACTTAATAGGACAATTGCTTTCTACATGTATAGGTGAGTCACAAAAAGTACAAGAATAAGGGACAAGTGCTTGAGAAGTACTTACATTGCTCACTTGAGATATTTGTGGAGCCAACATTCTCCCAATCTTGGCAGCTAGCAAGTCCACATATGAATCATTAAGAACTGAGGAACCTACCATATTCACATTTCTCTTTTCCCTTGTAGAGTATTGAGCACCACTTGAAGCCATCTTGTCAATTAGTTCCCAAGCCTTTAAGGAAGTGAGGTCAATTAAGCATCCCCCACTAGCGGCATCAATGTTAACTTTGTCTCTTGGAATCAAGCCCTCATAGAAATATTGGACTAAATTCTCACTAGAAATTTGATGGTGTGGGCATTTAGCCAAAAGGCCTTGGAATCTAGTCCAATACTCATAGAGACTCTCATCCTCTCCTTGTTGGACCCCATAGATTTGCTTTCTCAAATTGGTGACCTTGGAATTTGGAAAGAATTTATCTAAGAAGAGTCTTCTTAGCTCGGCCCATGTGCTCACTTTCACATAAAAAGGGTAGTTGAAATACCATTCCTTTGCTAAACCTTCAAGAGAAAATACAAAAGCCTTAGCTTGAACATCATCAACATTTACATGCATAGGCTTCATAGTATCACAAACCAATAGGAAAGTATGCAAAAACCTATGACAATCCTCTCCTGGTAACCCATGAAATTTAGGCAATGCATTAATCAAGGAGGATTTAATTTCAAATTGAACATTAGTAGGAGGAACATATAAGCCATAAGGATTATCATGCCAATTAGGTTGAGTTAATTGCCTAATGCTCCTCTCCTCTCTAGGGTTATGCAAGCCTTCAAATTCATTATTAACATGGCCATCATCATGCAAATTCTCATTCCCATTCCCATGGCCCTCATTATGCACATGCTCATGTCCTAAGATACCTTCCATTGTTGAATTACAAACCAAATGAGAATCAAGAATAGGTTGTGATCTTCTCAATCTAGAAATAGTTCTTTCAATTTCTGGATCTAATTCAACAAAAGAGGTATGTTTTCTTCGGGTCATGCACTAATCAAGCTCAAGAAAATTAAGAACAAAGAACAAACTAAACTAAAATGCAAATCAACATGAAACAATTCAAAACACACAAAAGCAAGAGAAATAATTTTTTTTTATTTTTTTATTAAACTCAATAGCAACAAAATGAAAAAAAAATAACACCAAACAAGTAGAAAGAGAGTTAGAAATGCTCAATCAAGAAGCTTTGGCAATTCTGGAATTCGCACAGTAGGCTCTCTGGAGACAGTGAACTTGTGAATTTTCTATCAGCAAATCCACATGATAAATTCCCCTGAAACTTTTATGAGAAACACAAGAGATATACAGGAAAATTATATAAAACTTTTAGATTAAAAATCCTTCCCAATCGTTCCCAGAATTTTTCACAAGTTGGTCCTCAAGTCTGGAGAAACAGGATTTCGTCCAGAAGACCTTCAGAGCTTCTAACAAACTTTCAAATAGGAAAATGGAAAAATTGAAGAAAATCCTAAACACAAGAAACAAAGATAAGACAGCGATAAGAAAAATGAAACTGGAATCAATCAATTTGAACGCACAAAGAGGAAGATATGCTAACTCAAAGTTGAAACAGGGTTTTGGGAATCCTCTGTAATGGCTCCCTGGACCTTGTTAGATTGTAAAATTTCCACAGGACACTTCCCACGTCCAAAATTGACCAAACCAATTTTAAAGTGAAGCTAGGATATAGAGCTTTCAATGAAATAAATTCCACATTCAAATTCCCTCAGACTCATTCCCAGTTAATTTTTCAATTTCAGACAGAGACACTAAAAACAGAGTATTTTCAGCTCTACACCAAACCAACGAAAATTGCACTAATTTTTTTTTTCTTTTTCAAAACAGAATAAAAACACTCAAAACACAAAAAAACACTAAACAAAACACAAAAACAAATTTTTATAATTTTTCAAAAAATTTTCCAGGAACACTAAAAATGTAAATTAAGTACTAAACAACCTTAGAATTAAACTTAAACCATTCCCCGGCAACGGCGCCAAAATTTGATAGGAAATTAGTCGCTTATCCTCAAAATTACACTAAAGCTAACCCTAATGCAATATAGGGCCAACCCTAGGTCATCTCCCAAGGAATGGTTTTAAGTCTAATTGAAAGTTATCTAGTGAAATAAATCAACTAAAGTTTGTAGGAATTTAGTTACCTAGCTAATTATCTAAACTAATTACCTAATGTGCAAGTAATTAAAATGCTAGTGAAAGTGAGTGAAATGAACTTCCCTTTTTACAATAATGGAACCCTAGAGATTAGTTGATTTTGGACTCATTATCTTCTCATGATTAGGCTAAGTTTAGCTTCCCTTTCCTCTTGACTAAAGCTGTCATGACTTAAGAAAATTATCCTAAGCCAATTAACCTAATTAGCTAACCTCCCTAGGTCTTAGATTAAAGTCCCTAGTTCAATTAACCAATTGGTGAAGACATTAGCCAAGTGATTCACTCAAAATCCTCTCTCAACAGCCATGGTCAAACACATAAATTGAGCAACCACAAGATTATGTCAAGCTACTCAACAACACAAGCATTAACACCACAAGATTATGCAATATTAACACAAGAAATTCACTAATTGAAAAACACAAGATTATGTGCCAAACAAAGAGTGGCAAAATTCAGTCATGGCTGTCCAAGGAAGAAATTAAATGAAACAATCCTCTCTCTTTACATCAACATCAAATTCAAATTAGAATTTATAAGCTAAGATGATTAAACCCTAGATTAAGGAATCTAACCATTAGTAAAAAGAGAAGAGGATAGGAAACAAAAGAACTTAGCCAATTTGAAGCTCAAGACTCATCCTCCATCTTCATCTCTCTAGGATTCCACAAAGAAACTTAGCCAATCTTCATCTTCAAGAACCCTAGTGATTGCTTGTGAAGGCCAAACTCCATAGCTCTTGAATGATGGAAATGAGCTTCAATCCTTGTGAAAATGGAAGGGATGGAACGAAAATGAAGAGAGGAGAAGAATGGTATGAGTTTTGTGGAGGTTTGGTGGCTGAAAATGGAGGTTAGGGTGCTGGAAAATGAAGAACAAAAGAGAGAAAATGAAGAACACTATGAACAAGAGAGAGAGAATGTGGAAGATGAATGAGATATGTGTTGGATCCCATTTGGGGCTTAAAATGGCGTGCTCCTTGGTGTCTTCCATCAGCTGAAGCTTAATTAAAATAAGGAAAAAGAAATTAAAATGTAAATGGGAGCCTTGTCACACTTGCAAGGTGGCAACTTCCTATTGGTTTGTAGATGATTCCAATGTGTGCCTAATTTCTCATGTGTCATCCACATCATTTTAGCTGATTTAATCCCTCAAAATAATCATAATTCACGTGCAAACCATCAGCCATTGACCTCAAGGAGTGTTGACCTCAATTGCCCAATTGATGCACAAGTCACATGCCACCTATGTCACATAAATCACATAATTCAATTAAATAGCATATGATATAATAAAATCTAATTCATGTCCAGAATTAAATTCATATTTAGAAGGGAGAATTTATTAAATTAACCAAGTTTCAGGCTGCACAAAATTATATAAAAATTTTCACATAAAGGCAAACCAAAAACTAGGACAAACTAAGACACTTAAGAAAGTGTTGACTTTTTTATTTAATTACTCCCAAACTAAAATGAATTTTAAAAATATAATTTCATCATTTATCAACTGGACATAAAATGTACTTTGTCAATTTTTCTTGTACATTTTCTCAAAAGTTTATTTTTTTGGACCAAAATGCCCCTAGTGCACTGAACCTAGAAACTTAGGCAAAGTTCCAAATCTAATGCAATGTGTGCACTTGAAGGTGATAAATCATTAATAAAATGGTCCTAATTGACAAATAAAAGTGGGTAACAAATGTGTTCTATCATCACCCACTAAGGCTATCTGCCTCCTATACTAATAGGTCATATTTGTTACACACTTTTCTTAGGCATTTAAGAGCATATTTCATAGTAAGAAAAATTAAGGTTTTAGGCTTTGAAGGAAAAGTATGCATATTAGGGGTATTTTGATCATTTTTCACTTCATTGGGAATTGAAGGAATAATCTAAAATTTTATGTGTGCATTAGTAGTAGGTTCATTTAGGTCAAAATATTTGGTCTTGAAACACTACAACAAAACAACGTTTTTCTTGTGGCATAAATCTGTGAGAAATCATTAAATTTTGTGAGAAATAATTTTCTCATAGCATTTCTCACGCCAAAAGGTTCGTCACTAAACCTATCGAAGAAAAAAACATTTCACACGAATGGAACCGTGAGAATCATTTCTCATGCCCTTATCCGTAAGAAGTTCTTACTGAGATGAAATCCGTGAGAAATTCTTGCAGAAACTTTGTGAGAGTATTTCCTTTAATATAAATTTGTGACAACTTCTCACATATTATTGGCATGAGAAATTCTCTCATATAAGGATGTTGTGAGAATTTCCTATGATAATATTCTATGAGAAATTCTCATGCATAATAAAGCTGAGAGAATTTCTTTTAAAATAATGCTGAGAGAAATGTAAGACAAATTCTTATATACAACATCCATGAGAAATTCTCTCATAACAATACACCGTGAGAAATGCTAACAGTTTGTTTAATTGTTTTTCTCACTAATTTGATGAATTAATTTTCATGAGAAATTTATTCTCACAGAATTTTATTACAAGAAATTTTGTGAGAACTCTATATTATTATCATTATTTATTTGATTATTTAAAAATTCTATTATAAACCTGTTAAAATATTTCTCAAATAACAGACAACAACTAAAAATAGTTGACATATAAACACATATGTCACAATTGAACATCAGAAAATTGCATTATATCATAATGTTTATAGCAAAGTTCATAATACTATGCAATAAAAGTCATAACACATAAAACATGAAATCACATAAATTCATTCTCACTGAACTCATCATCCTCTTCATCATCAGAACCATCTTCTTGTGAGTCATTCTCCAAATCACCACAACCCTCCTCATCATTGGTTTTAGAAGGACTACCTTTTTCAAATTTGCTTATCCGTGTCATAATCATTGCCTATTTTTGATCCATTCTTTCTTCCCTAGCACGAAATTCTTCCTCCCTTCTTTGTTCCCTAGCTCGAAATTCTTCCTCCCTTACTTGCAAAGATTCAACAACCTTTTCAAATCTATCCTCATAAAATTTTTTCTGTTCTTCTAGTTGTTTCTTTAAGAGTGCAATCTCACCAGATGTATTGGCACATTGAGTTCCATTAGAATTAAGAAGCCCTGCCTGTGTTCCAAGCCCATAAACTCGACCCCTCTTATTTTTCCCCCCAACCACCTGAAGCCATAAAGCAGAATCGGAAATACTAGCATCGGATTCTTGACATTCTTTTAATCGCTCAAACTCATTCTGCATTAAAACAAAATAATGTTAAAATGTATGCCTAAAAACAAAAAAAAAAGAATAAAGACTTAAATAACTTACATAAGTGTTAGCAGCTCTCTTTCCAACCCAACCTTTTTCCTCATCATGTTGAATTTTCTTGAAAACCTCAGGATATTCACAAGGCCTTCCCAATTCAACTTCCTACATGATTTATAAAAAATGATAGGATTAACTCAATAATTAAAGAATGAAAAAATACATATATATTTGAATAATTCTTACCATTCTTCTTCTATGCTCTGCAAATGTTATTCGTCCCCCTCTATGCACACATCCTCCTGTGTTAGCTGCTCGATTTTTTTTATTTTTCTCAGATTTAGCTTTAAATTCATCACTTTCCCAATATTTTTCAAGCTCCTTTCGAGGTCCAGGCATTAACCATTCACCTTTTGTTTTACCAATTCGAATGTCCCTCGAAGAGGAGCGAATTACCCCACTACATTTCTTCTTCCATATTTTATGAACATCACCATCTAAAGTTGGGTCCCAAGCACATCTTAGCTACATATAAAAATATGAAAATGTCAAGTGCTACAAAATAAAATATTTGTATCAATAAGTTGTAAAGAATTAGTAAATTAGCTCACTTTGAATTCATTAAACCATAAATTTTTAACATTTTTGGGACTTTACTAAATCCAGGCCATCCACTCTCATACTTTGAATGGATTATTCTAGATAAGATTGACACTGATTCAACTGAAGGAAGTAACCTATAAAAAGAACAAGAATTAGTATATAACAAGTAACAAATGATAACATAAAAATTCCAATAAAAGATACTTACTCCTCAATTGAAGGAAATATCTATCGTAGAATACTATACTCTATTTTGTCATACTCATTAAAAAATCTTATTCAACCCAAAACAAAAATTTATAGATATGTCCTGTCATACCCATTAAAAAATTACAGAGAATAAACCACCAAATTTGTGCAATTAAAACCATAAAGGATGGAAAGCAACGTGCATTGAATAGGAATCAAAAATTATTATTATTATTATTATAGCAGTAAAACAAGAGTGTACGAACATGGAAGAGGAATCAATAAATATACATGTCTGTGTGCCACTCCCAACACCTAAATAAATAAAGATAATTAATCTTGGGAGGGGCCCTAGGTGAAGAATAAAAACGCAAACTTGAGTCAGCTTTATATATTTAATATTAATCAAGAAAGGAATGGAGGAATAGAGGAACCTTATCGCAGGAGAAAGAGGATGATGATCTTTAACGTGCAAGAGAGAGGAATGGAGGGACTGTATAACCGAGAGAGAGCACGAGCTGCAAATAGAGCGATCTTCGCGAGGCAGGAGCACGATTTGGGTTTTAAGCAACTGACTCTCAGGATACCTAAGCTGAAGGAGCGAGCGGGAGATGAAATTTTTTGAGCCAAATGGAGGGACTGAACAGTAGATGAAATGGCAAGAATGGAGGGAAGAAAGAGGGCATTAGGGATTTCAGTGAATTATTTTATAAAATTAATACCCACTAATTCTTTTTATGTTTCAATTTTAAATCTTACGATAATATAAATTTCATATTATTAAATGTTTTTAATATTATATTCTGAAGTACATTTTTATTTAATGACATAAAATATATTAAAAAATATATTATAATTTTTTATTGTTAAATTAAACAAAATTTATCACCGGGTCTGTTGTTATTTATTTTATTTTATTATATCAATTATTTAATTATTTTTTTGTAAATATTTTTTATTAAAATTTTATTTCAAGTAATAAGTAATTTCTCATAGTAAAGTAGTTGAAAAAAAAATAATTTAGAGGGAATCCAAGTTTTTAGTAAATATTTGGCTCCAACTCAATTATTTTATATGAAAATTTTGAAAAAGATAAATTTATTAAAAATAATTGGTTCTTTGTAAAGAAGAAAAAATAGCTTGAGATGTTAGGGTCAAGTTTAGCTATATAGCCTCTATTATAAAGTTAATAAGTAATATTTATATACCATTGTTGACTTAGGATATATACCAGAAACTCTGAGATAAAAAATTCCTACGTATTTTTGCACTTTATATTTTATTTCTTTTTCTTAATGATCAACATTAACCAACATCAAGCAAATTTAACAAGATAGGGAATATGCTCTCACCGAAAAAAAAATGTTTATGAATACTCATGTACAATCGTTTGACATAAAAATACTGATAGCTAAACCCTTATAGTTTGGGTTGGGTTGGAATTTCTTGCCTATATTAAAATGGGTTGTGCCCAACCCAACTCAGTTCCCTCTCCCAACCCATGTGAGATGTGTTGGCCCATATTTTTACATCTAGTTTGAGCATTAATAGAAAATAAATATTATATAAATTATTTTTAATTAATTAATAATCAACTTCATATAATGTGTTGGCCCATATTTCCACCTCTAGTTTGAGTATTAATAGAAAATCAATATTATATAAATTATTTTTAATTAATTAATAATCAACTTCATATAAAATAAAAAATATACACTTAATTAAGTTTTCCGTATAACTAATTTTTTTAGTTTAATTAATATCATCTAATAAAATTATTATTAAAATTAATATACACTTAAATAACTTCCTCACACTCCTTATTAATAAGACTTTCTCACATCTAATAAACTGTGCAAAATTGTTCATAATAACACTTTCTCACGGTAAGAAATTGAAAGAAGTTCTCATGACATATAAACTGTGAGAAAACTTTACATATACTTTATTTTATTATATTTGTTATTAATTTTATTTGTAGTAAAAATAAACTATTTCTATGCTTAATAATCAATTTCATATAAAAATAGAAAAGTATATACTAAAATAATTTTTCATAAAAATAATTTTTAATTAATTAATATTATTTAACAAAATTAATGAAAAAATAAATATACATTTAAATAATTTTCTTACAATGATTGTCAAGGACAATTTCTCACAACTAATAAATTATGAGAAACATTCTAAATAATAATTTCTCACACATACTAAATTGAGAGAAATTCTGTTGACATTAATTTTGTGAGAAATACTTGAAAGGATTAAGACTTTCTCAAGGAAAAAACTTGAAGAGAGGTTCTCACAGTGTACGAGTCATGAGAAATGTTTGCTCAAAAGACTTTCCTGCGAAAACTATTTGAAGAGAATTTCTCACGGTGTACAATCCATGAGAATTACTTATGGGCACCAATTCTGTGAGAATTTCTCATAGACAAAAAGTGAAAGAACTCTATCATTTAGAAATATTTCTCACAAACACAAATTCTGTGAGAATTTCTTTTACATATATTGTTTGTGAGAAGTTGTTTTTATTATATTTTGACAACATTTCTTTTGTTTTCTCACGACTACCAACTGTGAGAAAATTGGCGCCATAACGCGCTATAGTTCTTGCAAATTTTCTCATGCAATTCTCACAAATATTTCTTTTATATCATAGTCGTGAGAAAAAAGTGTGAGAAAGGATGCATGAATTAATTTTCTGTGAGAAAGCTTGCAAGAAATTCTCATGTTTCAATTGTCGTGAGAAATTTCCTTGAGAAAAAGACTGTTTTCTTGTAATGAAAGTTGCATTTGGACATAGGATTAAAAAGTCAACATTTTAGGTTGACTTGTCAATGTGGCTAATTTGACTTGATTTGCATGCATCGATAGCCACCTTTTATTTCTCATATGTGATTGTGAAGTTTTGAATGGATTTTGAAGCCACATGTAAAAAGATATTAGGGTTTGAATATTTTCATCTTTTATCACATGTGCAAATACCTTAATCATATTAGAAGATAAAAGAAAGTCCCACATCTAAAGATTAGAAGACAAATTATAAATATATAAGCTTAGGAAGTATCTAACTAAATGTCTTAAGCTATTTTGGTGATGTATACTATCCTTAAGCTCACTTAACATAAGAATTTTAACATGGTATCAAGAGCCATATGATCGGGGACAAAAAATGAGGAAAAAAAGAAAAAAAATGAAAGATGAAAAAAATAAGAGATAAAAAAAAGATAGTAGAAGGAAGAAGAAGAAGAAGAAATTGAATAAACCCAAGGCCTCTGAGACTTTAAAAAAAGTACAAGCCTAGGTAAGAAGAAGAAAAAAAATAAAAAGAGAGAGGAAAAAAACAGCAAAGGGAATATTAGAAGATAAAAGAAAGTCTTACATTTAAAGATTAAAAGACAAATTATAAATATATAAACTTAGGAAGTATCTAACCAATTGAGTTAAACTATTATAATGAAGTATACTATCCTTGAGCACACTTAAGAATTCTAACAGGTCAAATTTCATGTTGTTATCTTAGGTGGCACTTTGCATGAAAGAGGCTTTTGGTTCAAGACTTGGCTTTGCATCAAGAGGCTTTCAAAAGGCATGAATCAGACTTGATTTGTAAAGCTTGGGGCTTGATTTCTTAGGATAAGAGAGAAGCATATGAGGTTTACCATACACTTGCATAAAAGGGATTAGAATTGACATCAACTTAGCTTGACTTGTTCAAGATCGTTGCAAAATTGGTCAGATATTAATAAAGGTGGAGCGTGAATTTTGATATGAGTAAGGAAATACAAGATCTTATCATGATCATGCACATATGAGATTGGAAGAATTAGCAAAAGCAATATTGAAATTTTCACCCTAATTAACTTGCAACCTATTTTAGATCTTTAACTTGGTCTTTACTTAGAGATGCAAGCCTAAATTATTGAAGGAGCTACTATGTGGAGGAAGAAACCTTGAGTTTGAATTGCTTTCTAGCTAGATTTGAATTTCTCTCTCTAGAATTACAAATTTGTATGACATTTTGATCTTAAGATTTCAAGTGATGATACATGTGATTAAGAGATACTAGTTGCAACTTGTGTTTTGTTAGGTTGAGCATTGATTTCGGCCTTGTCAAGATTCTCCATAATCTTAGTGTAATTTAATGAGACTAACATGTCTTCTTTCTTGTTACAATCATGCCAACTTGAATGCATGTGAATATTTTAATGTTTCATAATTTTGAGCATGTGGATCCTATCAATATGTTCTTGACCTAATTGACTATTGTTTGTAAAAACTTTGGTTTTACTTAATGATAGCTTGACCGTGCCCTATGTCATAATCTTGATTAGGGTTGGTTAAGTTGTTAGGTAAGTCTTAGTTAATATAACTAAGTAACAAAAAACAAAGAAAAGGGAGGGGAGACTAAATTAGCTAGATAGTGATCTTACTAGGATAGGTAACCTAATCCACATAGAAGTTTGTAACATCTTGAACTTCAATCTAAGAAAATAGTTCCCAATTAGGGATAAATTACTAATTAATGGGTTGATTATGGTTTTGGATAGTGGATTAATGTTTGGTATTAATTGGTTGGTGTAATCATAGGATTGAATGGTAGAACTGTAGTTTGGAACATGACATGTGAGCATTAGTGAGAACCTCAATAGCTTAACCATTTAGGCTAAATTAAATCTATATCCTTAAGATTCAACCATCAAATCCTAGACCTGTTATAAAACCTTAGTTTTGAACCTAAAAACCCATTTAAATGCTCTTTCCCAAATTCTAACCTGTTAAAATTCCTTGTTTTATTTTCTTTATCAACTAAACTTAGAGAAATTAAGGCAGAAATGTAGTACAATATGGTACAAAACTTACTCAGGAAATCACTAGTCAAATAAAATTTTCAAACTCTCATGGATCAATGCCCTAGCACAGAGGTCCTCCTTTCTCCTCTCACACATGTTTCTTTCCCCTTCTCCTTCTGATTTAATAAGATAGCATGCCAAACCCATCATAAAACCTTTAGTTTCACACCCAATAATCCTTTTAAAACCTTTCTCCTAGATTTTAACCCCTTAAAACTCTCTAATTCTATTTTTCTATCAATCAAACATAGAGAAATTAGGGTAGAAATGTAGTGTAGGGTGGTACAAAACTTACCCAACAAGTCATTGGTTGATGAAAAACCCCAAACTCTCGAAACTTCCTACCATGGCATAAAGGACCCTTCTCCACTCCTCCTTCATTCTTCTCCTTCTTTTTCTCATCAAAAACATGAGTTAAGCACATCGGCTTTAAGCAAATTCTATACCATGCACCATAGCCCATGCAACACATGTCATGGCACATGGTATAGTGAGGCAACTATTACTGTGGCTCACGTGTTATGTCCCAAACCATCATCTCATCAATTGATCCTATTAATACACCAATCAACCAACACCACACGTTAGCCAACTATTCAAAATTATAGTCAATCTACTAATTACTAATTTATCCCTAACTAACAACTAGTTTCTCGGATCAAAGTTCAAAATGTTACAGTATTCTTCATCTATATAAAGATTGAAGTGGGTGCTGGAGAGGGAGGAGAAAAAATATTAGAGAAGAGATGAAGGAAA